TACATACACCAGATCTGCAGGAAAAAAGTCTAATAAATTACAAATGTATTTTGCTTGGCAGAAATACAGTTTTAAAGATGCAAATTGGTAAAGTTGAAAATGCATGTTATAAATTTTGCCACCTGCCTCAATAGTGTACTTATCAATTGATACCGACTCATGTTACTCCTGTGCTTCACCTGTAAAGTTTTACATTCAGCTTGGATACAGCCATAGCTAGTTTTATCTCAGAAATGGTATCGTTCAAATAATAAAAAAAAACCACATTATTATATTTTAATATTGCATACAAGTAATTTTTTTTAAAAATGTAATGTAGATTAAAATCCTCTGTCTACCTGCAGTTAACTTTAGGGAACAATAACTGCACAGTAAAGTATGCCATTAACATGGATTGTTACTAATTATAGAATCATAGAATAGTTAGGATTGGAAAGGACCTTAAGGTCATCTAGTTCCAACCCCCCTGCCATGGGCAGGGACACATGCTAAATCATATCACCCAAGGCCTCGTCTAACCTGGTCTTGAACACTGGCAGGGATGGAGCATTCACAACCTCCCTGGGCAACCTATTCCAGTGCTGTTAGGATTTTTCATTCCTCTACACAGAACAGGAGTACATAGTGTAACTATAAAAATATCTTATTAACTCAGGTGATGTGCATCGAACAGTGTCTCTGTACACGATACAGAAGATTTTGACAGTTTTCCAAGTAGGCAGTGCTTATTTCACTAATCCCACCAATCTAGACCATAAAGAAATACCTAGAGGTCCACAGACTGGATTCAGCTTGCCTGTAAGATTTACATGACCCTTTAGCTCTTACCAGTTTTCTGCTGAAAACTCTTGTTACGGATAAAGACTTATCTGCAGACCACTTCCAGTATGCTGGTGGCCCACAACCTGACCCTTTTTCTTCCTTCTCAAACATGTTGGGAATGTGAATGATGTACATCTGGGACCTCCTAGAGTGACCTATGTCTGGAATGTAACCAGTTCACAGACAAGTATCAGACTACCTACCTGGACACACAAAGAAATTCCTAACATTTAACTAAATAAGTTGTATAAAGGAGGAGCATCATGTCAGCTCATGTGACAAGCATGGAAGAGGGAGCAGGGAAGGAGACGAACCAGCATCTCCAGCCATGTAATGGGGCTTATTCCACACAAGAAGATTAAAGCTAACTCATCTCAGGTATAAAGGATCTCTTATTATTCAGTTATTGAGATTTTTAACAGAACGAACACAAAATTTCTACCCTCTGAACACGAGGCCCATCTCTAATGCATTTAAAGGGATTGAACCAAAATGCTTTTTAAAAGCAATACATACCAAATATGTAAGGTGTATGACTCTTTACTTAGGATTCAATACTCACAGAAAAACTCAGACCCAATCTCATACATTTGTTAAGAAAATCAAACCCAGTTTCAGTTCAGTCAAAATCAGCAAGGAAACAGTTTTTATGTGTATGTTGTACTTAACAGTAATGTATATAAGTTTAGAACAAGCTTCCTTCCTCACTTCTTTTGTCCTAAGCATTCACACAATTAGCTTATAGAAGTAGACCAAAGTTGTAGTTCTCAATTTTTTTTACTATATCACATATATATTAACTAACGCAAAACATACTATTTGCGCCTTGTTTTTATTAAGATAACTATTTATTTCAATTACTATTTCATCTTCATTGACCTTTTAACAGTCAAACTTTCCCCTTAGTCATGTTTAAGATGTCACCACAACAAAAGTTTCAAGGCACTGAGATATTTTCAATACTGATAGCATGTGCCCCAACCAAACCACATCACTAACATGTCAAGAAAATACTATGTGCATTAACTGAACTGAAAGTTCTATTTGTAATTGAAAGTGAAGGAATGAGTCACAGAATTGCCAAAGGTAAAAAAAGGCAGCTTTAGAAGGATAATAGGACACATCAGCTTTTGATACCAAGGGATGCTCAGAACTTTTAAATGATACTTCATCTGAGTATTTCTATTGAAATGCTAAGAGCAAAAGCTAGGCCAAATAATTTGTATTAAGTCAACTGTAGACTTCAGATTTAAGTCTACTGGTATTAACTTGTGCCTCTGTATGCAAACTGCCATAGGCTGTTCCATACAATTCATGCTGCAAGACTGAAGACAGCCTATCCTAATAAACAATCTGCTTATTTCAGAAGTATTTTGGCATATTTCCTCTTCAGGACAAACAAAAACCAGACAACAGAGAAAAGAGACTGGAATTTTTTAAAGAAAGCACTTACAGTGATATCTTGATATTTACATTTTAGTCACATGATATTGTTCAAATTCACTGGCAACAAGCAAGTGCAGGCCTTTAGTCCAACAATTACTGCAACAACATTCTGGGCCATATATCTGCCCATCTCCAAAGGAAGAGTACTTCTTGTATCATCAGTAGGTCTAAGGAGGAATCCCCCTTCCTCAGCATCAAAAAAAAAATTGCCAAGCACTGAAAACTCACAGTGATATGGGACATAAGCATATCAATGATCACATTCAGCAGAGCTGAGCGACAATCAAGAGATCAGTGAACAAACTCTGAAAAGCCACAACAGTAATTTTATTTTGTTCTCCATCTGAGCTACATTCCTGTTTCAAGATTTTCATTTTGGCTCTAAGGAGACGAAATTTTGTTTGCTTCTCAGTAAGGAGTTTTCAGGCTATTACCAGCATGGACTATATGACATACATGTCATACGCTTGATAAATGGCTACTGCATTTTCCAAAAACACTGCAACAGTCTGCTTTTCTGACAATAATCCTCACCTGCAGTGAGGCCTTTTTCACACTATCCAAATTTCATAATCTTCCCTGGACCGTGTCTGTTCCTCGACTATCCAATCATACTTAGAGTTCACCCACACAAGTCTGCATTATGGATAACTTGGATTTCAACAAGAACTAGGATTAAATGAGGTATGTAGCTACTTATGACATGACCAATGATTGGGGCTCAGCCCTCTGTGGAAAAGAAGCAGCGGTTAACAGATAAAAGACCAAATTTGCTTCTATGAACGGGACAGGAAAGGAAGCATGCAAACAACAAATGAGCTGCAACACACATGTCAGCAGAAAGGCATCCACACTAGAGCAGCAAAAATTTTAACTGCAGCAGAATGAAAAAGTATTTAGTGCAATGGCAGCGGAAGAGAAACATGACTAGTCTGGCAAACTGAGGCCTATCAGCTGCTGTCTCATAGAGCTTAAGCATCAGAGTGCCAGACGCCTCATGTCGGTGTGATTTACTCTGGTGTGGCCCAGAAATAAACACATCAGTCGAGGTTTCTAGCGCATGGATGTTCTTTTTGTGCAGAACAATCAAACTGAAGAGGCAGTGATTGATTTTAGTTTAGATTGACCTTAGTTTAGATTGACCTTAGTTTATGGCGCTTTTTATTGGTTGCTCTTGGAATAGATTTCCAATTTGCTGTAGGATACAATTCCAGCTTAGCAACCCTCTTGATCCTTCCATTTGGACACTATTTATTTTTTTTTTTACGCTTTCCAACTCACTTCTTTAAGGAGCTGAAGGCTCTTTGGGCCAATGCACTTCGGCTGGTTTTTCCTCCTCCATTTCCTCATTTTGACTTCTGACCAAGCCACAGCACTGTTAACACCCACTTCCAGCTGGCCGCCTCGCTGTAATCAACTACATTCCCAACTGCAAGTCCCCCAAATACTTCTACGCCTCTTTTTTTAGCTGCGTTTGAAGGCAAAATTAAACTAAGCCAGCGTGGCTAGCTTCCAAAACAACGGAAAACTGCTAACCAGCTTTTCAAACAAGCTAACACAAAAACTTTACAGATTACCCGTTCTGCTACGCACAACTTAAAGGTAAGCAAGCCAACTTCCACAAGAATTCACATCGGGGTAGAAGCGGGCAGGCCGGGCCCGACTGCGACCCCTGCAGCTGCCCCCCGGGAGGAGCCCCAAGGCCCCTCTCCTCCTCCCACCCCGACCCCTGAGGACAAGGGTCCCGCTAGTGCAGCACAGCCCAGGAGATCGCTCCCCGCTCACGCACCCAACAGACCCGAGGCACGGGCCCCGCTGCCCGGCCCAGCCCGGCTCCCTTACTTCTTGACGTCGGTGCAGAAGAGCCCGAAGGCCGCAGGAATCGAGGGGGTCGTGGTGGTCGCCGCCTCCTGGGCCAGCTCGGGCGCCGCCTCTCCTCCCTGCTCGCTGTAGCTGAGCCCGTTACCAGACATGCTGCGGCCGATACTTCCCGCTCCCACAAACTTACCGGCGCGGCACACCCCAAACCTTCCCCCCCGGAAGCGGCGGGACACGGCCAGCACGGCGGGGCGGGCAGGTCACGAGGCGGGAGGCGGGGCCAGCCAGCGGAGGCGGAGCTCGTCCCGCCCAGAGGTGCTGTCGGTGGGGGTGGCGCAGGGCGGGGTGTGTCCCGCTTCATGGGACAGTTGGAGTGCGCGGCTTCCCCTCAGGTGCGGAGGACCTCGGTAGGTAGAGAGAGCTTCGAGCTGCTCGGGGGCCGGGCTCTGCTTCCCAGCCCTAGGCCGTTTCTTGGGCACAGCCTTTGAAAGCACAAAGTATGGCCGATGGCATCAGCTCGTCTTTGTTTCTGGTAATCTGTATTACAAGTTTATTTACTTCCCAGTAAATGGCGGCACCTCGCGCTGCCCTCCACACTCACGTTACGGAAGCGGTGGGATAGTGTAGACTAACAGCAGGAGTTTACATAGAGAAGGCCATAAAATGTAAAAGGATAAGTCAAAAATTGTCTGAGAAAAGTTTCTCTCATTTCTTTTTCCAGTCTTGGGCATCTTTACCCTTTTCCTCCAGTGTCTGAGAAATAATCTTGTGTTCATGAAAATGGATATTTATCCATCCCTGACATAAATTAGGAGAGTCCAACGTTTTCATCCTGAGAACTGAACTCATTTCCAAAAGGTTACAGTTCATAATTAATACTTTTCATCTTGCACAGGGAAGACAAAAACAAAATAATGGATTGTCATAGTATTTTTCCAAAACAGCTTTTTGATTTGCTTGTCTTTCAGCAGTCTGTACATTTCTGAGTGAAACTGAGTCATTGGCAAGCAAATAAATGTGACTAAAAGAGTTACCAGTACAGGATCTATTAAGAGTTCAGGGCCGCTGTGACGGCAGTTGTCCTCAGTAGCTGCCTTCTATGAATGCCAACATTTTGGTTTTGTTTTATGATCCTCTCAGCTTTTTTCTTTGCAGGACTGTCTCTTGAAAGTCATGGCTTAGAATGTAGATGTCCCTGTGTGAATATGCTTGACCATCACCATTTTACCTTTTGGTTCTTTGTAAACTTACGTTTTTGTCCTGCCCTTTGCCCTGTTTGCACTAACAGCCATCATAGTCTTCACTCCCATAGTCATACTCTCTGTAAGTATCTCAATATAACTGCCGTTATAAATGTTGATGCTCTTCCAATGATGTGACTTGAGGTGGTCACCTCTCAATCATACCCAGTCAAATGGCATCCTACATCCTGAGTTTAAGGGATCAAAAACCAGAGTAGGCTGCTGGAGAACTGGGTCTGAGCTAAACAAAGGTGTCTGCTTACTGCTCTCCTAAGAGTTTATGATGTTGCTCTGATCTACAGAGAGATCTGAGAATTCGTACCAGCCATTCTATGAAATTGTTTCTGTTTTTCAAACCATGCATTAAAGCAGTGGTGAGAACACTGGTTCCAGTCATGGTTATGCTTACATAAGGTGCCCCACCTACATCTTTTATTTGTGTATAAGGCACATACAGTGTAGGAAGGGGTAGCCTGCAATAGGCCAAGTCCATAGTTTGTCAGGTGGATCTATTCTTTTAAGATTGTCTGCCTGTTCTTTGAAGCAAGAGGTTTAAAATGCTTGCTTTTTTTTTGGTATAGATCTGTAAGTGCTTATTTTTAGCAGTAAGAAAGATTTCAAGTACAACCAACTAATTCTTTTATTTTTACTTGTATCTCTTAAAAAGCAATCTTAGGGGAAGGGATAACAGAAAAAGATAACAGTAGACTTGTAGAGTATTTCAGAGAAATTTGTGGGAGCACAAACATGGGGAAAAGCAGACAGGTGGGCTATTGAGGAGGATAATCATGGGACTTTGATATGAGGGGCAGATAATAACAGTGAAGCAGAGCTTGGGAGGGCCTGAAACTGAGAACAGAAAGCAAATATTATATGAAGATTTATCAGTTCTCATTAAACACTCTTATGAGGAAGACTAGCGATAAGCTCTTGCTGTTGGTTCTTGAGTTTTAGTTTGAAATATTCCACAACTGTTCAATGACTAGCCTTTTCTTGGCTACATTAACTCTTCAGAATCACCATGCAGTGATAATATACTTGCACATTGGATATATATCTGTACAAGATTATGTCAGAATTACTGAATTATGAAACAAAAATGCTACCTAATCGTCTTACATTCACTGATTACAGTATACTGTGTTTCAAGTTTTTTGTGCAATGTAAGAAAAATAAGACAAAGCTTGAAACAGGGATTTTTAATCCCATCAAGGATTAAAACAGAAGACTTTTGCTTCTCAGTTTTCCACTCATCATGTTATTTTTTGAAACCGTTTCACCTCCATGATTCATACCATTTTCACAACTGATAATTCTGTGGTATCTAGTAAATTGCATAGTTTCTTACTCATCCACTCATAGATGTAAATGACTGTATAATAATATGTGATATTTGGATATAACTTTTAAAAGATAATTACACTGAGCAATAACTTCCAAGTTTCTACGGAAGGGAAGAGGAATATTAGGGGTAAACACATAATACATTTTCATTAAAACTTACATATTGCATGTACATAAGCATTTAAAGAAAAAAAAAATTCATGTTACTTAACAAACTAATCTTGTAATTCAAACAAACATTAACTCAAACAAACATTAACTTTTCTTTAACTTTATGAAGCATTTATAGAAGATACTTTGAAGTTTTTTACAAAGTTACGCCCCTTTTTTTATCTTCAGCTGAGCGGGGCTGCAGTCTGCTTATTTGATGCCCTCTTGTGGCTCAGATTATTAGTATGCTGTTTGCCATGAAAAACAGGAGATGCATTGGTAAGGAAACTATTTTTTAATAGAATTCAAGCTCTTTATAACAGAAATGTCAAGATATTAAGTGATTTGATCATATTTTCTATAGTGCTGATAGTTTCTGATATACCTAAAATGCGCAGCGTAGCCCACACAAATCTATAAAAGTGTTTACTTCAATTTTTTAGTAAATATCATTTATGAAATATAAGTAATGATACAATACAGATTTCTGAATATTAATATTTTTCATTCAGTAATGATTTAGAAATCTGGTGTATAATCACCTACTTTGAAATTAAGAACCAAGTACTCATTCCCTAACCTGAAATAATGGGGTTTCAGTCTGAGGCATGAGCTCAGCTGCTGGTATTCCCAAGTAGTTTAAGAAAACTAACGGGTCTAAAAAACCACGTTGATCTGCCTCTCTCCAGTTGAATCTGGAGTTGAAATAATAATAAAAGCTAACTGGTGTTCTTTCAAAAATAGCTGTTCTCCATTCCCTAGCAGAACAGGCTACCATTTTACCCACATGAGCTGCTCACGTATCCACTGTTGAGACCAGGACCATTTTGCTCCTACAGCGCTTCTACAAACTCTGAAATTACACAACATGTGTCTTCTGGCTTCATCAGTTAATATTCTTGCAAATGATTATTAAGATTTTGGTTAAATGATGAATAGGAAAAGTCGAAAGCAAAAAGCAAGAATAGAACACGAAAGAGAAAATGTTTAAAACTAGAACAATTTCATTATATAAGTGCTTTGTAATTTCTTCAAGCATAAATATGCAAAATAGATATTACCAGAATTAGAATTATAATTTTTCTTTATATATAAAATCAGATTTTACTTTTATTCTGATAGAATTAAAAAAGGTCAAGATTGTATTCAAAACTATTACAGAAATATAAAAATTTCCAAATATAAATAAAACTAGTGGAATAAGTGCTCTTTCAGTCTTGTACTAATACCATGCCTGGTGTTTCAATGATAATTAAAATCCGTATCAGATCCAAGGTGAATTAGACTTCAAAACTTTCACTATAATTGAAAAGATTCTCTATTAATTCTTCATTATTTAATCTCACAGATATTTAAAATCACACCATTGAATACCATATCAAAGTAGTAAACCCATATTAACTTGGAATAAATTCCTGGTCACATACAATGCTCACAGAACTCAAGTAATGAGTTTAAAAGGTTCAAAACAATGCTCAAATTTTTACTGCACTGTATCCTAGTTTAAAAAAAATACCTACTGCTACAGAATGAAAAGAATTATTGTATCTGAGAAGATTTACCTTGCTTAGGAAAAGAAATTCTGGGTGTGGTGGGTCCTTTCAAACATCCAACTTACCCACAACTACCTTTCTAACGCAGTCACAAGTTACATATTTGTTCTTGATCTGCCTTGTTAACATCAATTCTTGTTTTCCCCTTGGATCATAAAATCAGAGAATCATAGGATGGTTGGGGGTGCAAGGGACCTTAAAGCTTACCTAGTTTCAACTGCCCCCCTGCCATGGGCAGGGACACCTTCCACTAGGGGGAGAAACAGAGAACTCTCTTACTGTAGGAGGCACAATAAGGCACAACGCCAAGAAATGGTTACTCTTCACATTTTCCTCAGGGTGAAACACTTACATTACTTACCCTACCGGATTTTTTTAATTCATGTTAATTTATAAATGGTTTCTGGAAAGAACATAATGAACTGGCTGAGAATCAGGTCTGTAAGCAATTGCTACACTCAAGTGCACTTACATATGAAAGGGGTGAAAGGGCCAATAAATTGTTTTCCTGGTAGATAAAGAATGAGGAAGTTGAAAGATTTATCTTGGAAATAACACTGGATATACAGAAGATAATTTCAGCCTTTTTTTTTTTCTTTTTTTGTCAGAGATTCCCCCTATAGTCACATCTGAATAGTGACCCTTCCTAACCTGGAACTCCAAAGGCCATGGAAACATGTGTTCTTGTTGAACATAACTCTGCCTTGTTTAATATAAGGGTTTCTCAGCACCCTACAACTGTGATTCTAAAACTAGCTTATTTAGTTACTTAATTCTGAAGGTTTTTTCCTATAATTAAATGTTATCGCTCAGGCAAGATGTATGTCCTGTTTCTTAAAAAATGTTGGGAATCCATAGTAAAGAGAATTTATGCAAAAAAAATCTGTTTGAAATATTTTTAAAATAATTATTATAATTGTAATATTATTACATTTGTAATTATATTAATCTTAATTACATTTATTTAATGTTAAAGTATGAGTATAACATTAAATTAAAATTATGAATATATTAATTACAACATGTAAAATAATCTTACATTAAAATGTTTGTGGAAATATCAGACTGTCTCTGGTATTTATTCTTTTTACTGATTAGATACCTTAATCCTTATTCAGTGTTACTTATTCAGTGTTACGGAATCACTGAAAAGTACATAATTTTTTCATAGAAGGAACTTCTTTAAAATTTATGTGAGAAAAGTAGATTTCTCTCATTTTAAATACTAAAATAAAGGAAATACAGTGCATATTTATAAATTCTCATTGTTAAACCTATTTTTGCATGTGAATCCACAACCCTTTCTTATAATATAGGCAGCAGTTAAATACAGAGTACTAGCAATCAGTCCTGGTCGGTATATCTCATGATGTATTTAACAAAACTTGAAATCATACAGAGAAATCGAGATAAAGAATGACTTACAAGAAAAAAGGCTAACTAGACTTGAACTCTTTGGCCTAGAAAATAGACATTTAGTAGAGATCTATCTGTTTTATGGCAGATATCTATGAAGTGACAAATCTCACAGAGAACATGGTATTTTTCTCATCTGCTAGGAGGAATCAAACTGGTAAATTGTAGATACAAAATAAAGGTTCTTTATTTTCTACAGCACAATTGAAATGTGGGTTTTAATAGTTATCATAGGATATTGTTGATGGCAAAAGTTTTCATGAGTTCAAAGAACAGGAAGACAAACTCATGAAGAAAAAGTTATTAAATACAAAGATAAGAGCTCTGGCTTAGGAAGTTCTCAAACCAGAAGTTTATTATAGAAAACTACCATTACATACTCTCTTTGTTCTGATACTCTTCCATAAGAACCTGGTACTTAAACGTTCTTAAACATCCTGGGTAGATGTACCTTTGCAGGTACAACTGTTTTTATGTATTTCAGTTCAGTATTACCATTGCAGTTATGTACATGTGTGAGCATCCTGCTGTCTTACAACACAATAGCTGAAAAATGAGAAATTGCAGGTGATAAACTGAGTTCATACAAACCACTGAAAAGTGCTCTACAGAGCACCAACAGCCCATACAGTGAAACTAGGAATTTCAATGCAATATGAAAGAAGTAATAACTAAAGAAATTTGCACATATATTATCAAATGTCACAATTTACAAAAGACTGGTAGTCCAAGAACGTGGGAATTAAAGTCATGCTATCTTTCTGTGTCTGTTTCCTTTTGTAAGAAATGGCAACACACTGGTCTACCCATCTGTAGTTGAAAAATACCACATATGAGACAAGTCAGGCTACACATCCCATTCTGATCACAAAAGCTGAAACTTTAATCAGCGTTCCTGTTTTATTTGAGAGAAAAACAGAAACATCCTTTGTTTTCAGTCTTATTTATCCCCTCAGGTCTTGTTTGGCATTTCTGCCTTTGAAGTTGTGAAAGAAAATTTGTGTTTGCTCCTGCCAGATCACTGTGATCAGTCATTAAAAATATTAAATGTTTACAGGGCTATTATGGCTGTCTTTAAAATCTACTTGAAATGTTATATCTAGCATGACTCATCTGTTCTGTTCTCAGAAACACCAAGTCCCAGCTTGCTGGTTGTCCTTCAATTGTAATGCTTTGGTGCTGCATGGTTATTAGATTCCGAGTGCTGCATGATTATTAGTGTCCATGCTACTTTAGTCACCAATTTTCCTATGAAAATAATATAAAATAATGTGATGATGCTGAAGGAGCAAAATCCTGATTTGCTTTCTATATCTCTTCGTTCCATAACTGAACTCAAAGGAGAAAAGCTTTCTTACAAAAGTTCATTGGCAATGAAATAGTGTCTTTGGAGTATTACTCAAACACCAGACAAGCAACTAGCAGAAGAGCAGAACTCTGCTTCCTTTCAAACTTTGATGACATCTTTAAAGATTTGCCAGTATGTCATGCTGACACCAGAAAATTCTGCTTCTATGGCCTTTGATGTCTGCATTTCTTCCTTCTCTTTATTGATACTGACTGAATCATTAAAGACTAGTGAAAGAAGACAGCTGCATTTCCATTACCCCCTTTTACTGGTTGTTCATCAGGGAATGATAGTTGCTTGTTACTGGGCTGAGTTGCTGTAATAGCTGAACATGAGCCGTGGGTCATACAGCTCATACCCGTATGGGTATACCCAGAATTGAAGACAGCTGGCATATGGCACATTGCTCCTGAACAGGACTGCAGCATCATTACTCAGTTGTTCATCTTTTCTGGAATTTCTTTTTCAATTGTTTTAGCAATGTTATTGATCTGGTGTGGATCTGTGGCCAAGTTATACACTTCCACCACCTCCCGCTCATCACATTCACAGTGCTGCAGGTCCCAGGAAGTTGACAGCGTCCTTGCACAAGGATATGTTGTTACAGGCATCTTCACAGACAGTCTGGGAAGCAGTGTGTGACTCCAGGTCCTAGACAAGAACAGGTAGGACCACTGCCGTTGTACACCACCAAGAAGTCTGATCTCCATGTCTCATTTTTGTCTCGTCTCAGCAGAGCAACAGTGACAGCCCATCCATCTGGGTCTTTTTCAAATCATACTCCGGGATGTCCAGAATAGTGAGACCCAAATCAATATTTGCACCAAGCATCTTGTTTGTCTGATTTGGTTTTATCCCTGGTCCTTGAACTAGCAACGGCACTTTGGTATCAAACTCATACAACTGCCATTTGTCTATTGTCAAAGAAAACTGGCAATGTGGAAGCCATTGTCTGATGTGTAAAAGATGTATGTGTTGTCTTATTCTCCATTCAGTTCCAGTTTCTTCACTAGCTTCTCTATCAGGTCATCTACTGACAGCAGAGTTTGCCACCTCTTTCTATAAGCATCATCAAGAAACTGTATTAAAAGGTTCACTGGAGTATTTGCTTGTCGAATTAAACAGTGCTTGTTCTTCACATGAATATTAAAATTGCTGTTCAAGGTTTTTCATGCTTATTTTATTAGAAGAAGAAATTGGTGGGATAAGCAAAGTCAAAGTAATGGCCAGTGTTATACAAAAGGAGCAGCTCTACAGGGACACTGAAAAGGAGTGTCAACTATTCTGAAACTGCAAGACTGAGTATACAGCACAGATAAACATGGCACACTAGACCAGATAGTGGGAATATGGGAGTGGGATGAGGAATGCAGTTGGGACAACAGGGAATATCACACCTATGCAATGGCAAGGGTTGTCCACCTCTGGTTCTCCTCAGCAGAGCTTTGTGTACTGGGATTTGCTTCTGGGGCAGAAGATAATCCTGAGCATTGGAGAGAACTACCCCACCCATGCACATGTTCACTTAGATGTGTGCTTGGGGTTACTGCGGAAAATAAAACTGTCGTGATTTACACCTAGCCAGACAGCTCTGAAAGAATCAGATTTCACCCTTGATACCAAATAGCCTTCATTCTGCTTTGAGAAAAGCATTTCTTCAATGCAGCTTTGTGCACTATGTCCTATTCCCTGAAAACAGAGGGACAAAACCAAAAAGCAGTTGCCTTCTGCACAGTTTCCTACCCACTTTTTCAGCAAATCTGGAGCTGTAGAAGTCCTCTTTTCATATTCACTCAAGCACCCATTCAGACTTGCTTCTTCTGATGGCTGATGTGTTTCCACCTCTTACCTGCATTTTACTAATGTGGGTGCTTAAGTGCTTCATTTTCAAAAAAAGATGAGGTCTTACATATTTTTCAGCAAAAATTAATTTAAGCAGAATTAGTATCTTTAAAAGCAGACTACTTTTACCCAGGCCCTTGCTAATGAGTTGAACGTCTAAATTCAGGCACTCTTATTTTAAGGGTTAGGCAGTTACAAACACCAGAACAGAGTACACCAGCAAAACACTTCTAAATTGAGATGAACTTTCAGGCTTTCCAAAACAGCAATAGATTTAAACTTTAAGCTACATAGGAACTGAATAGTTCGGGTGTGTAAAGATATCCCTTTTCCAATACTTTGGGCTTTCATCAGTACTACATTTCTTTCTGGATACTGTTTTCTCGTAGTCTGAATGGTACTCAACTTCCATGAGACAGAAAAGCAGAGAAGATTTGATACCAAACACTGAGAAAATATGGGGGAATTCTCAAAAGTATCTTGTATTTTTGCCCTACTCTTACTCTTCTTTGGAGAAAGGAGACTAAGAGGTGACCTCTTTTTCTGACCAAGTATGGGCTGTCTTACGTTCTTGTAATTGAGATTGTGACATGGAAGTAGTACATGAAAATCTCTCCTATAGCAGTAAGGGGAAAAAGTGGTATAGAAGGTGCATGGAACATAAAACTGGAAATTGGAAATAAAAGTACCTAGAAAATACAGTTTTAGAAGAAAGGTTGGAGGAATACACAGTAGAAAACCTCTCCATTCTTTCCACAACACGTAGGTTAAGGATACCAAATCACTGATACAGGTTGGTGAGGCACTGTAATATGTTGCACAAGGAAGGTGTGAATGCTTTATCCCTGGCAGTGTTCGAGGCCATGTTGGACAGGGCTTTGATAAAAGCTGGTCTAGTGTGAGGCATCTGTGCCCATGGCAGAGGGGCTGGAACTAGATGATCTCAAGGTCCTTTTCAATCCTAACCATTCTATGATTCTGTATAATTTACTCATTTCTACCCAAACAAAGTAAATTTAAATTCTAATCTTCCAAGAAGAAAAATAAAAATTTGTATTCATCAGGGGTTTTGTTTGGGTGGTTGCTTTTGGGTTTTTTTTGTTGGGTTGGTTTTTTTTACTTTCCCACATGAAGCCACCTTGAGATTTTTGAAGTAAACTTAGCTGTGGCATATAATTTGACTTAGTTGCATTGGAAATCAGTGCTTTTGAAATTTCTTTTACATGGATTGATTTCCCAGCCTTGTCTCCTGGGGGATCCTAGCTGTCACTATTCCCTGATTTGTAAATCCACAGACAGAAAAGGGCTGTCCATAGGTTCACATTCTGTTTACAGCATAAAGAGATATATTATTAGTATGAATCAGTGT